TAGCTCAGGCTGGCCCAGGACACAGTGATCATCCTGCCTCAGCTTCCTGACTATGCTTCTGGAATTACAGATGTATACTGCTACACCTGGCTTTTGAATACTGAATTTTAAAGTTACATAGAACATTAGTAATTTCATCTGAAAGACAAAGACCAGAAGCCCACCTGCTAGCAATGAATCTGGATTAGACACTAATTTTACTGATTAGCAAACCCAAAATATAGTGCTAATATTCAGAAATTCCAAAGTGTTTAGAATCTTTAGAATTTTTAGTCAAATAGACTATAGAGAAATAATTTAGGTTTAAAAAATATGAATGTATCCTTTGACTATATGCCAGAAGAAAATTATCCAAGCTACTTGGAAACAGAGTCTGGAATTGAATCAACATTAAAAACTAATGGCAAACCAGTTTAAGATCAGAAAGGGTAATGCACCAAGTATGTCAAACATAAACAGGCAGAAATGACCTTAATCTGTGCTCAGGAATTAGGAAAGCTTTCCTAAATGGTCCTGTGGATCAGATGACATGACATGAACTTTATGACAGACCTGTGCAGTTGTGAATTTTTATTTACAAATCATGAGGGTGTTAGTTTGCATTTGTTGACTTGTAGAAGCTGTTGAATGCTTAGGGAAACAGTGCTTTGAGTTTAGAACACAGAAAGGTAAGTAAGAACTGATGCTTTAGACTGACTTGATTGGGCAAGTATATGATAGCAAAAGAAACACTAATATATAGTGAAACCACAAGGAGCAAGATCTGAGCAAAATTAGTTCTATTTGGTTTAGAAATCTTTCTATGTATCTATGGATGTATCGATCTATATGTCTATATATCTATGTATCTATCTATATATCTATGTATGTATGTAAGTATCTATCTGTCTGCCTTTCTTTTAATCTTGTCTCTGTCATCTACCTATTGTCTACCTATCTGCCAATACCTACCTGTTTGTGTGTGCATATACATTATGTGTATACACATGTGTGATATATGTGTACATATATACGTGTGTATATGTGTGTGATATGCATACATACATACATATACATATGTATATACATATAAATACACTACATTTGTTTATTTATATATAAAGAAATAGCTTTTTTCTCAGATAGCACTAATCTCATTTAAGTTGTTTATCTGATGAAGAAGAGTACATGACTGGTGGGCACAGATATGTTTGGCCAGGAGTGACACTGAGTTCTGAGTGGAGAAGACAGAGGCTTTTAGTTTTCCACCTCTTTCCTTTTTGCCATTTCTCCTTTAGTGATAAGTAGCTTACATTTTGCTATTGTGATACTGGAATTCTCAACCTTGTTTACATTTTTTACAAGCAAGTTTACTCAGTAGATTCTTCTGATTGATTAGTGCTCCTGAAATCCCTTCAAACTCATGGTTCATGAAGTATAAGCTAAAGATGGATCTATACAATGTAATGGGTAAAACCTCAACCAGATTTCAATTTGTTTGCTCAGTTATCTTCCAGCTTGAAGGGCAACAACTGTCATTCATTATCATGGTCATCATCCACATTAGTGGGTTGCTGGCTCTGAGCATAACCTCAGCTTGGGTATATCCCACTGGTGAGAAGACAAGCAAGGACACACTCTCAGTGTCAAGTTTGGCATCTAGGTCTATTGTATAGAACACCAGTGAGGAAAGGTCTAGCTACAGAAGCTGGAGAGGTGCTGCACCTTTTGGTGTCTGGAAAGGAATAGCTTTCCTCTGTGAGATGAATGGGAAGTTACTGGAATGTTTGGTAAGGAGAGGATAGGGACTATGCATCCCCAGCCTCTTTGCAAAGAGATTATCACGGGGTAGAAATCTGCCAATTCTATTGGTCATTCCCTTCAGGCATATCTTAATATTGAAAGAGTAGAGTTCCTAAAATATGTAAGTTACTTACCTCTGAGTCACAAGGGAGTCCGGTATACTTGTAACCCAAGACAGCTCACAATAATTACCTTCCACCTGTGATAGTACCAAGAACAAAAGGCTCTGTTTTGAGTGATTTTCTTTACCTATCCCAGTGAACCCTCTCTTGATAAATCCTTGTTCCTAGTAATCACCTCCTTAACCTCCTATAAAGCCCCGTCTTCCTTGACTGAACTCTAAATTGGGTTGTAGAGCCAGGAGGAAGTAGTCTTCATCGTGGGCTCCTGAGAGTGCTATTAGCTGTTGGGGGCTCCTGTGGCATGCTAAGTAGAAGCTAAGGGAAGCTTTTGTCTTAACAGAAGAGAGAATCTCTGTAGAACTCATGAGTCATGGAGGAGTAGTTCTTACATCACCAGATTGCAGAAGGGCCACAAAGACCGTGGAGCTGATACTTGTATACTCATTGATGACTTTTTCAGTGTTGGCGCTCACTAACACACCTTTCCAAGTGGCTGTTTATAGGGGATTTTAAGCACAATGAGGAGTAATAGAGGATGCTGATACCTACTACTGGTCATCTAATAAACACTAGTAAATATCTAGTAGTTGTGTATTTGAAACAATATGTCCTCTTGTCTCAGTGAGGCCGAGGATGCCTTGGATAGGTGTCTTGGATTGTATCCATTGGGGGTTCTGGCTCCAGGTTGGATCATGGGAGTCACCTGTGGTTTTCCTACTCTATTTCACTGAGCTCTAATCTGTACCTGAATCCTCCAGGCAGTGACTACAGGGGCAGCAGCCACAAGAGAAAAATAAATACATTAAAAATCCTACACTTCAGAATTAAAGACTGAAAGGTTCTCACTTTTATAGTCTTTCCAGAACATGGGGAAGAATAATTCTACAGCAACCCAAATCCATGAGGCCAGGCAAGATATTCTATACCTTCCTTCCAAGTGGTAAGGCAGATTCAGGGGGGCAGCAGATTGCATAGAATGTCTCAGTTTTGCTAGTGGTGCCAGGGTAAGACAAGACTCTTCTCCATTCTTCTACCTCATCTTAGAGGGGTCTGGCTCCTAAAGTCAAAAGTCCAATGGTTCATTTCTATCTCTAAGTGAATCTGCACCAGTACAGGTTAGAATTACTTAACTCTTGTTTTGTATTGCTATCTACCTTTCCTCTTAGTTTTTGACTAGAGGTGAGATTTGGGGATAGGTAACAATCATACTAGAAGTCAGTCACCAGAATATTGGTGGATGGAATTTGGGATTATTTCAGAAACAGTGGGACAAAGAGTGAATCAAGTCATCAGTGATACTCACTAGATACTACATTGGAAATGAACTTTACAACTTGAGGACTCCTGGGGAGGGAGGAAGTAGGAGAAAATGCGGGAGAGGGTAACACTGTTCAAAGAGAAATGTACTCATTACTATACTCATGTAACTGTAACCCCTCTGAACATCACTTTTACAATAAAATTTAAATTAAAAGGAGTAAAAAAATAAATGCCAGACATCAGGAAACTTCCGTTTTGTGTGGGGGGGGAGGGGAGTGATACTTACACTGAGCTTCCTACCAGGAATCACCAGATATAAAAGCCATGCCTGGGTTTGACCTTTCACCCCAGGAACAGATGAGGTGTTGGGAGCCAGGACCTCTGGAGACACTGAAGATACACAGATAGCTCCCCCAGATATCCGCTTCCAGGGCTTCTTTGAAGAAGACAGGGACTGTGTCTTCAGAGCACTGACCACAGAAAGTTCTTCCCACCCCATAAAGTCTATGATCCCTTCCCTGGTCTCTGATCATCAAACCCCAGACAGTCATCCCCTCCCCCCGCCCCTCGCCCCACACCACTCCCCCACTGCAGAATGAGTAACACAGCAGGTGAAGAGGGACATGGAACACTTTTTAATGTCAAGTCAGAGAACAACCCCTCCCTCCCCTACCCCAATCCCACTTTCCCTCATCACATACATCCAGGACCCCTCCCCGAGGCCTCTCTGCTCCTCAGACTTGGAGAGGAGGACAAAAAAAAACCGGTTTACCTAAAAACTCCATTTTTCTTCTCTTTCATACACACTCACACAAAGGTGAAAAATTAAATAAAATCAACCGAGAGGATTCAATTCTTCAGTGGTCACAAAGGCATCAGGGATTCCCGTAGTGGGCTAAAGCAAGTGGTTACTGGCGGTTTTAGTTGGTTTGATTGCTTGCTGTCTGTTAATGCCCCAGGCGAGATGGAGAAGGGAAGCCAGAAGGCTTTTGCCTTAGAGAGCCACACCTGGAAAGATGCTGCGCCTGATTATTCATTGTTGATGTTGTTCTTATTTTATTTTTCTTCTCTTCACTTTTTATAAATGTCTCTGACAATGTAAAGAACCCAGGAAAATAAAAAAGGCAGGAGCTGATTACACAATTACCAGTAAACTCTATCATCTTGTAGAAGATCAACACACAGCTAACGCCATATACAGCATGCAGTAATGTCTGAGAAAGGACCCTGCTGAGAAACAAAATGGCTAGAACTCTAACAAAAAAAATATATGTATATATATATACTGTATAATATATGCCCTCAAAAGAAGCATAGCCAACAAACCCAAGACACAGTGCAGATCAATTTCCCTTTTCTAAAGAGTATGGGGATAGCATGGAACTGCCTGTGTGAAATGTCGGAATTAGGGGGAATCGGGCGCGCTGGTGTAGTGGTATCTAAACTGGGTGTGTAGTGGTTTCTTTTGTTTGTTTGTTTGTTGGTGAGTCTGCCAGGACCTCACCAGGTATTTAATGCCCGGCACATGATCCGCCAGTTGTAAACCAAGTTGAGAAGTATACTATTCTTTTCATGTTTTAACATGTCTGTTCACCCCTCTCCTGTGTGTGTGTGTGTGTGTTTTGTTTTAGTTTTTGTCTTGTTTATTTTTGCACTAAGTTCTCAACTCATATGAGAATATATAATTAATAAAATTAATAATGAATCAGAATCCCTTAGCATTGTGATGTCCATGTCATAAAATGAAAAAAAAAAGAGAAAAGTTTAACCATATCTTTTTGTGACTCTTGTTTATGGGATTGTTGTGGCTGTCAGGCTGTCTTTTTTTTTCCTTTTTCTTTCTTTTTTTTATTTTTATTTGTATATTTCATGACATTTGCCCTGGTGACAGTCTACCAAAGGACCCTCCGCAGTGCATCTGGGACCACGTGTCTCACTCTGCATTTGTCTGTATCCTTAGGAAGGATGGAATTTGGGATGGTGACTTCAGAGTGGTCCACGGGGTGGGGGGCACTTAGTGGGCAGAATGGCTGAGCCCTTGCCCACCCTGGTGACAGAGAAGTCACTTAATGCAGCTTGTGGGTGGGTCCAAGCCGGGTATGCATTCTTCCCATTTGGGAAAAGAAAGAAAACTCAGCGGTACCTAAATATCTGCAAGGCGATTTTCAATTTTCCTTTTTTTTTTCCTTTTTAAACTTTTGTGGTTTTTTTTCCTTCCCCCAAAGTATTCTTTGTTCCCCTCCCTCAAATTTCTCTCTTATGAGCGGCGATTCTCCAAAATTTCATTTGATCCTGACTTGTTGCTGTCGCGTGGCCGTGCTGCGGTGTTGGAGATGCGGTGGTGGCAGCTCTACCCAAAGGGGAAGGGGCGCTCACATCAAAATTTGAGGAGAAGGTGTAAGACCAGAAGGGGGAGGAGCCAAACACAGCTTGCCCTCCGTGATGTCCCATTGCTAACCTCGCTGACTGCACCAGGGCCTGTGGAGAGAACACATGGATGGTGAGCTGCTGGCTGTGGAATGGTTGAAGAATCCTCCAGTGGCCTCGAGTGGTGACATCAGACTTGCCTCTGACAAGACATCCATACGCAGAGCATCTGGTGCCCCAGCTCCAGCCCTTTCTCCTGCTCCATGCATATGCGCTAGGCCCATGGAGAGACCTCTCTTGCAAATAGAGAACAGAAGGCTCAGGTTCAAGTGTCCTGGTGACCATTATTTAACATGCTCAGGCTCTGGTTCAGGGTCAAGTTCAAGAAAGAATTTATTCAATAAAGTTCAATAGAGTTCAATAGAGCATGCCCCTTGTGTTGTTTGCCTCAACCTCTGTTCCCTCTGAGCTCTGTCTGCCTTGGCTATTCTCTGAACCCTCCAACTGCTCGGCCTGTTGTTCAGGGAAGGATTTGTTGGGGCATTATGGTCTATCTCCAAACTGCTACTGGTGCTGCTGCTGCTCTGTCAAACACAGAGGCCATCCTGCCAATCACTGAATCTCAGGGCAGGTGCTAGTTCCACCTGGAGTACTTGGCCTCTTCCTCATCTGGACAAGGTAACAGCAGATCTGGTTCATGTATATACTTGAAAGGCTCAAAACCAGCCCTTATAGGGTGCACAGGAGACTAAATAAGGAAATGGAGCCCACCTGCAGAGTGATTGTATCTAGGGATAAACATGGGCTATGTGCAGACCCTGCCTTGGTGTGAGTCTGTGGGGGAGGGGACATGGTAGAAAAATGGTCCTACAAGACATAAAGCCTGCAGATGCTCTTTGACATGGAGCTAAACACAGGAAGTAGGAGAATTGCAAGATTACAGAAGCTTCCCTGGTCTTAAATGCCATAGCTTATAACGGCCCTTATGGCTATAAAAATGTAGTGGTGAATCCTGAACCATACCTAGGTTTGGATTTCCAGATGGATTTGGTATCAAAACAATAGCACACTTTATCCACTGAACCTATCCTGTTGGCTACTGTTGCACTGAATTTAATGAAGGTGCTTAAAGCTGGTGGTTACATTTTAAGTCTTCATGGGGAGGGGAACAAGGAACAGAGCGAGAGCCTGTTTTCCTGGTTGGAGGCTTATTATTGGAGTCACTTCTGGTTAAATCAGATCAAACCTCAAACTGTGTTTCTTCATTCCACATAGGATTACCCTGTCCATTCCTGGGACTTAGCCCTTTGAGGTAAATCTTTGGTATTGGGGCAGTGGGTAAATACCACTCCCCAGGTCTGACTGCAATAAGCCATCCAAACTCATGTTTGCCTGGTATCTGTCTCACAGGATTCTCAAGGTCAAAACCACCTGGTCCCACCCCAAGACCCCAGGGAATACTGTCCTGCTTTGTGCCCTGCAGGACAATGAACTGTGTGCATAACATAAAGCTGATGGAGTCTTTACAGACACAAGTAACAAAGGAGCATGTTTGAAAGTCCTGAGGATTTACACTTCAACTGCTTTTCACCTGGGATTGTTCAATAATTGGTTATATCTTGTACAATTTAATCTTTATGTTTCTATACAATTCACCACTCCGAACTCCACTCACCCCAAACTCTGCTTGAACTCAAAGGAGTCATAATAGTCCCCAGCACCCTCCAGAGTGACAGATTGCTTCTGTCCTTTGAGGAAGTCCTTCCCTTGTGAGATGCTCCAAGGTCTTCCCATCAAGACCCTGTTGGTGCCTAAGGTTGAAGACTGAAGACACAGGACTCATTTCTGAGTCCGTGTCTTCCCCACACAAAGTTAGTGATCATAGTCCATTCTCTCTTGTGTGTAGTGCCCAGAACTGTTCTCAATGTATCCTGCACACGTGGTGCCTGTGTTCCTAGCAGGACAGAGGTCTGAGGACACACAGATCCTTCTCTTGCTGTATCCCCTCACCCCATAGCTCCTTCTCTTCAGAGCACGCCCACACTCAACTTTGAATCACACTTTATTGATACCATTCCAGTTCACATCTCCCTCTCCTCCCCAGCTTCCTGCCACGGCCAAGACAAGGCCTGATGTTAAGAGATATGAAGAACCAACTCCAAAAACCCAAGAGTGATTTGATATGCCCTCTTTCTCTTCTCCATTCCCTCCTTTCAAGGCCAACCAGAAGGAGAGCTATGAGCCAGGTATATGGCCCAGTAAGGGTTGACTGGATTGCTATCTAAAAAGAAGGGATGAATGCCTTGTTTCCAGTCTGGGACTCTACAGCTCAGAATGTGACTGTGAGTTGGCAAATGGCCCTACTTGGCATGTTGCAATGGAGAACTGAGCTGGCAAAGGGCTCCCAGTGGCATATCACAATGTCCTGGTGGCTCTTGGCTCTTACTTGGTCATATCGCTATACCCCTCAGGAGCCTTTGTAGGTCTGTTTGGAGAGTATCGCTGGGAGTATGTAGGCACAGATCCTAACCACTCTGTGAGAAAACTCTCCTTCCAGAGCATGAAGAAAGCCACAGTTGTCTGAGTATATGGACTTGCTTATTTGCACCACTGTCTAGGAAAGGCTCCTGGAGCTTCTGTTGCTCCTACTGAGACCCAGGGGAAGCTGGTACTCACTGTGCATGGTACAATACAGTCTGTCTTCACCTCTACCCACACACGGACTCCCTTACCTCTCCCCATTGCCCAATCTGTCTGCATGTCCAGAAAGCCTGGCCTGGGCAGAGCTGAACAGATAAAGCAGGAGCAGAGACAGTGGTGCGGTAGTCACCACCCCCTTCCCTACATACACACCCAGAGACGATAAATCAGCGATGTCTTATCTTCCCGTTCACAGAGCTTACCCATTCACAAGGTAAGTTGTCCTTAGTTGCCTTACCCCGCGTATTATTTGTCAGGCACAACCCAGGGTGATATTTCTACAATTCCAAATTCTTCACACTGAATCAGAGCCCTCTAGCAGTAACAGAAGTGCCTGCCTTCTTGGCAGAGCATGCATCACATCTTGTGAACTGCCTGCTGTTGGGATCCCTCAGGTTCTCCTCCTGCCCCGTATCCTTGGGTGCGTCTTGCTCTGTGCACAGGACACACAAACCAGCATCCTCTACTCATATTCGCTTTCCTTCCCCCATACTGTCATCTAACTCATTCTCATTCTCTGTTCCAGTTTCTGTTCTGGTCTTCAATAATCTCCTTGAAGGAACAAAACGTCCAAACAAATAAGAACAGAAAAAAAAATCCTACCTCCTCTTTTACCTGTTTCTTCTCCCACACCCCCTTCTTCCTCTCTCTAACCCTATTCAACAGAAGTTAGGAAATTTCTGGCACTGAGTGAATATCTGCACAGAAGCAAATCCATGAGGACCAGGAAGTCAGATGAATTGCCTGAAATTGGGGAAATGAACCTATCACAGAGCCCAACGGCACTGAGAAACTGAGGGTGGCAACTGAATGTCAAAGTGCCCAAGTGGCTTGCCCAGGTTCCCTTGGCTTCTCTCTCCAAAACATTTCTCTCTAGCTTACAGCTGCTGCTTTATGAACTCGTGCATCACTATGAAGAGTGGAAAGGGTCCCCCATCCTTGCCCCACCACATCTGGGCACAATCACAGTCACGCAGCTGACCTCCCTAACAATCAATGATATACAGGAGACACTATGGGATAAGGGTCCTTTGGCCAGGCAGGCATGCATCACAGTATGCCAAGAGTAAGTCCCTCTCAGAGCCAGAGTGACAGGGTGACCCATCTTCCTGGTGACACAGCCACCCAGATGAGGCCTCTGTCCTTCACCCTCATTGGATGCCTTTATTTCTTCTGTCTCATTAGGGAGCTGTGGAGGCTTAAAGAGACTAATTACCAGGACATTTAGGGTCTCAGAGAACTGTGATGAGTGTCAATTATCCATCGGAAACATCTGGCAAGAATGAAAGCCTCAAATAAGACTCATTTTATTCCTGGTCAAGTGACTCACCCAAGAACCTCCCCCTTCCTTCCATTTCCCCTCCCACCCATCGCTTCCCTTCCAACTCCAAGTTAGAGAGAGAAAGAGACTGGGGGTTGGGGGAAGCAAAGGGCACATGCAAGCCCAAAGTCTAAGATGATCATTGCATTAGAGCATCTGTATGTAAGAAGAGAGACAGGCCTGGTGAGGAGAAGCCCAGAGCCCAAGCTATTCTAGGCACTGGCAGGTGCTCATTAGTGCCATTAGCAAAGATGAGTTAGACATTGCACAAGTAGAAGCTATCCAGGAAGGATGTGATGTCCTCAGAAGCTGGGTTAATCTAAATAATCTTTGAGATGTTCAAGGTCAGGCAGAGAGGTGGGTGAGAGAAAGGTCCCTCTGGGTTGTTTCCTAAAAATAGTTTAGGAAAGGAAGTCTTCTTGGAAGAAGATGAAGACTTTTATGCACCCCACCCCAACCCAACCATGGCAGCAGCTACCTGAAAAAATAAATATACCAACCTTTCCAAGGGGTCATGGCTGTAGTTTTCACTTCTAAAAGAAATTAAAAACAAGCCACTGTTAAAGTAGAAAGCAGTCAAGATTACTTGCTTTGCAGTCAGATGATTTTAGGAAATGAATGAGCTCCTGGCCTAAGAGTTCCCCAGGCCTCTCATGCCTGCCTCTGGTTGTCCTGACCAAAGCGTAGAACTCATAGTGAATAGCCAGGGCAGCTACAATAAATTGGAGGCCAAGCTAGGGTATGAATAATAGAGTTGACCACAGACTGAATCCAAGCTAAATATCTACATAGCATTAACAGAAGTTGGCCTAGACCTTCGGAGCACAAAGTATCAAGAAAATGCTCATTTTTAGAGAAAGCTTTCTTTCTGTGGTCACCAGATTATCCTTGAATTCATTGAAGTCTGAAGACTCCAAGTATTAAGTTGGCTACCACAACTGGATTTATACCACAGGCATTTGAATGCCAGTATATGCCAGGTTGAAATGGTAAGTTTGACTTACCATTTTAGAAACACTGATGAGCTTTTCTCTGCCTTTTCCTTTTACCCAATACAAACGCCCATATGTTAGTCTTTCCTTTGACTAGATTGTGAAAAATGCCCACTTCAATAGGTTTAAGAGCTAGGGGGGAAAACACTGATGCTCCATCTTTTCTGTAGATAGCAAATATCTTGTCTGGCATGAGTTTTGTCTGACTTGAGTTTGTGATGATATCTACCTTGCACTTTACTATTTTGCCAAAGGCCTCTGCAGTTGCTCACCAGAGAAATGACATTAAAGCTTTTTTTTTTTTTTTTTGTACTAAAGTGGAATCATGGGGATCTGTGTGTAAGTTCTTCACCTACAGAAAGGTAATTTAGATAAAAGTGCATCCTAAATGCAACTCTGCTGTATACCTAGAATCTAATGAATACATACATTCTTATACATTCAAACTCTACATCTGTTCTTTAAAGCCATTTACAATATGATATCCTCTTGATTTGAGTGGACACAAGCAATGTGGAGAGACCATTGTAAGGATATAAAGATAATAAGAGGTGATCAATGGTCAGATGTTTTGCCATTGAAGGAAGATATTATGTAAAGCCAGGATGGTAGAAAAAAGCCAGTTGTGATGGTGCCATGTAGTTTGTTGTAGTGGGCAAGGTCCCTTAGAATGTTAACTGAATCCTCAGAACCAGCCAAGAAGTTAAGGAGGAGCTCATTCATGAGTCTTCCTCTGCCCACATATCAGGCAACCGGAAAGTGAAAGGACGTCTTGAGAGAGACTTGAAGCAATGAGGCATTCTCAGAACATTTGTCCCCAAACCACAAGCAACTGAAAGTAAAGCTACTGGGGGAAAGATCCTATAACAATGAGAGTGTTCATTCATAAGGACAGCAGCAGGGTTCCATTTGTATTTCAGACTCTCAGAAAAAGGCAAAAGTTAATGGCACAAGTTCCTGCTTCTAGGTACCAGAAGAAATTTCTATATCGCAAAAATCTGAAAACAGCTGCACCTTGATTGTTCCTATCTAGCTTTTCCCCAGACTCCAAAACAAACTACTTGAAAGCATCCACAAAGGTAAAGAACAACTTGACACTTTTTTCATGACTTTAGCTAAAACTTATCCTTAGGCTTTTTCCAGGTAGCAGTGTTTCAGCTCTTCCAAGTAACAGAGAGTTTTATTGCTTTCACTTATCACACAAGACAGACAAATGAAGGCAAGATGTTCCTCCCATGCATTCTAAACCTTCATGCTGCATGCCAATCCTTTCCCTTTGCTCTGGCATTGAAAAGAGATGTGAGTATCCTGACATCATCCTCTCCCTCATGATGACGTGCTGTCATTGGGTAGAGCCTCCAGAAGAACAAACATTATGTGAGCACCCAAAGCCAGTAGTAGCCAGAAGCTCAAATCTTTGAGTGACATCTTGGTTGACAAGAAAAGAAAAATCTTAAAAACTTGACTATTTTTCCTTCAGTAGGAAGGACTTTGACTGAAATTTAACTGATCTCTTAGTGATATATTAACAATAAGCCAGACAGAGTAGAGAAAAGATGGTCAGGAGAAAGAAAAAATTAACGAGAGGATCATAAAAAGAAAGGGGGAAGGGAGAAAGAAAGTAAGAGGAGAGACAAAAGGGGGGGAAAGCAGGAGGAAGGCAGGGAAGGAGGAAGGATGTATGTTTGTATGGAAGGAGAGTAGGAAGGAAGGAAGGGAAGAAGGGAGGGAGGAAGGATAGATGTATGGAAGGAAAAATAAGGGAAGGGAAGGAGAGAGGAAGGAAGGAAAAAAGGAAGAAATGAAGGGAAAAGGGCAGGAAGGAGGAAGGACAGATGGAAAGAAGATGAGAGGAAGAAAGGAAAGAAGGTAAAAAGGAAGGTGAATGGGAGGAAGAAAGGATAGGGAGGGAAAAATATAAAAAGCAATGAAAACAAAAGGGTAAAAGAATCCCATATGCAACATCCAAAGTCTCAACTCAGTTAAGTCTTTCCTGAATCAAGAAGTGATCATTATTTTTAAGCAAAAACAATACTCCTAGCTGAATGCAATCCAGTCAGCTGGGACTGCAATTTAATTCTACTAGGCAGAGGAGAACCGAGTCAGGATGACTATTCTATTCTCCTAGAAAGAGAGGGGGATATTTCTTTGCATGGTTTGGCAAACATGCTTGCTATAGAAATGCTAACTCTGGATGACTTGATGACTGGCCTAATTAACTATTTTTAATCCTCTGTAGAAAGAACTGATCATCTTTTCAGCCATAGTTGCTTCTCTCTGATACCAAGATTCTACTTTAGCTCTCCATTCTTTAATAAATTGGTTTGATGGTCACTGTGAAGCTCACAGGCATTAATCAGCTAACCTTTCCTAGCTTACTGATACCATCAAACCTGACTTAATGCATAGAGGAAAAAAGACAAAGGACCATTGGATGGGAAATAAGCAGTTTGGGAGCTATAAAGCTGGCTGCATGGGCAATACACACACTTGTCGGTGTGGAAGGTTCTTAAGAGATGGCGACACAGCCCTGGGTGCTTATTTATCATTGCGTATGTCCAGTGCTTCCAAATATTAATATGGGAAGGTGACATGCAATCTGTAGTGTTTGCAAAAGAGAAGCAGAGAAATACTTCAAGGGTGGCAAAAAAAAATGCTGAGGATGAACAAAATGCTCTTATCGAAATCCTTCTACTCCATCCCAATATTGGGGAGAAAATAGCTTTGAACTTCTCTGTAAGTCGAAGGTTCTCTGTCAGTGTAAAGGAAGCCACATATTCACATGAATCTTCCTTGTGTTTACGAGATAAAGACGAGCATAATTTGGAAGTACTCCCTGGGAAAACAGGTGGCTCCCTGCTCTTCTGTAATATAACATAGGTAAGAAGGAAACAAAAATAGATGAACAAGGTAAATGTGTTCAGGTACTTAGTCTATCTCCTCTAAAGAAATCCCAGTCATATGGACAAGTCCAGCCACTATCCTGCAGACTGCATGCATCCAACTCTAGAACCTTCCAGGTGTCTACAACTTCTGCTCTGACCCTTTTTTTTATACATAGAAGGGTAAAGGGTTGGGCATATCCAGATCAGAATGGAAAGTTGGCAGAGACATCCTTCCACCCAAGTTATTAGTTCACACAAAGGGCAGTAAGGTAGGCCTAGCTCTGTCTCAGCCTTGTTATCCTGTCTCAGGCTAACAGTTCTATGTTCGTTTACGTTCATCCTTAAGTTTGTTAATAGCTTTGATGTGGGATGGCACTCTTTCATCAGATGAGCACACCTCAGCTAACTCTCAGCCTGTTTCAAACCGCTACCTGATCTGGGTATAGGTTTACATGACTGTAATCACAGCACTCAGGAGGCTGAGATAGGAAAATGTCATGCTCTAATTTGGCCTGGGCTACATATATGGTGAGACTGTCTCACAACACCCAAACAAGCAAACACATAGACAAAAATTGAAAATCTACTACTGTGTTTCAAATATTCCTTTTTTTGTTTTTTTACAATAAAGTACTAAGCGGTAAGAATTGGCTTACTCACTTCCGAAAGTCCTTTTATACCGTAGGATGTGTCTTAACCCTAGTCTGTAACATCTCTTCAGTCATTTGTGTTATTATTGTCCTAGTGTCATCATTTTAGCTCACAATAAGGGATCAGAAACCTAAGTTGAGTCACAAGTTGAATCTATAATGCACATCAGGGAAAGGGAGGGGGAACATTAGGGAGTTGTGGGATCCAGGGGAGGGGAGAGAAAACATAAAAGCAAGCAGGGATACTGACCTTGCAACAAAGTTGAGCTTGTAGGCTCATTTAGTTCTAAATCAGGTGAGGGACATACAGGAGAGAAAAATGAGAACAAACACATATATTATATACAGTTGCTATATATTTGTCATATATAGTTTGTATACTGCCATTTACAAGTATTTCTGGGGGCATGGATAAATAAAGGAAGACACAAAAACCCAACATGGCAGGACAAAGTGAAGTGAGAGGAACAGGGAAATGACTTGTGTTACGCACTTAGACAGGATGGCTGGGAAGGGAGGGAGCAAACCAGTAATCTGTATGTTTTCCATTGTGGATGGATTCACTCTTAGTTGAATTTGTGCTGAACTGAGGCACTGTTGTGGTATCAAAGGAACAAAGCCCCTTTCCAGGTGAGATTTAGCCCTCAACTCCTCATCTGCCTTGTTACACTTCAGGAGACTAAGTTTAAGAATGTCTGATTTCATGGCAATGGTGATCATTGATTGTGATTCACATGATTTCATGATCAGAGGAGCAATATACACCTGGATCCACCATGTCTCAGGGCTATGACAGATGAAGTCTCAAGTTCATGGAAAACTCTGTGATCCCAGAATCCTATTGGTTTATGATTAGAAGGACCATCCTACTAAGCCACTGACCATGGGAACTTTCTACACTGAATTTTTCATTTTTCACTGCCTCATGGGAAGACAATGAAGTACATGTACAAGTAGCTGACAAAACAATAATGATTTAACTATCTTTCTGTAATGTTACCAGAGACTGATCTTCATCATGAATGTCTATTAATGTATATTCACATAAAGTTAATCCTGCCCAAGACTGTCTGATGACTTTTAGTGAAAAATGACATGAAATTTCCCAAGTAAATTTATATTTGGCAAAAGACCTCAAGGCGGATGGTGATATTCAATAATAAGCTTAGGAAGGACAATAATGTCTAGAACTAGACTTAGTTCTAGCTAAAGGGTTGGAAATGCTGGACTTAAAACATTAATAGGGTTCCAATGGTTCCATGGAGGGATCCAAGTGCTTTTGTAATGGGCCTCTAACAACAGAGGCTACAAAATGGAACCGGTTTCCAGTTGACAACATTTAAAAATGTTGCAAGCTTGAATCTCCCTAGAGATGATCATGTTATAGCTCCGAGACTTCCAATACCAAAGGACATCCATGTTGTCATTAACCTGGTCCTGCTAATCTCCCCTGTAAAGGTACCAAACTTTACAATGCACTTTTTAGAGAGCCTTGGACTCCAGAAAGCACGCATGTCCCAAAGGATGCACAGGGTGAATGCTTTCCGACCAATAAAAGCGGGTGCACGGAGGGGGAATCAGTTGTAATTGCCACATGTGGTTCTGCTGAAAAGAGCATATTATGACACATGCTTCACTGCTTTTTTTGTCATAAATGCCAGCTATTTCACTCTTAAAATGTCGGCTGCTTCTCCCTATTCTCATTTTGAGATGACTTAAGGAGAAGAGGCCAGGGAATTAGACAGTAGTGATAAACTTGATGGGAAAACCATTTCATGCATCCAACTCCGAGAAGAGAGATCAAAGCAGGAGGAAGAGTTTACAACACTGGGGCCCACACTGTAGCCATAGATTGGACATGGTTTGAGGCTGAAGGGAAAGTCTCGGAGCACCTCAGATTTGCAAGGTAAGGGAGGATGGGCCCATTCCTGTCTAAATCTGGCCTTCTGTGCTTGCAGACAGACACCTGCCAAAACCCAAAGTGGCCTGACAAATGAGAGGAGTACTTGTAACTATTCCTGTGTGGGAAATGCCAGAGAATCAATCACTCTAATCATAGCCCTGCTTGTTTTGCGCTGTGGACTCTAAGGTCAAGGGCAGCTTCCCCTTCCCAGCCCTTTCAGATAAAGCTGGGCTTTATCTCCTGCACTGAATTGTAGGCCTGGAGGGTGTGGTTTGGAAGGAGAGATGAAATGATGGAGTATAAACTGATACCTAAGGGTATTTGGCAGGGGAGGGGGAGAGAGAGCCCTTGAGGCTATAGGATTATCTGGGAATTCTCTTACAATCACAAGAATTTATGTTCATATCTGTTGTCTGCTAAATTCCTTTCTTTTCCTTCCCCATCACCTTTAAGAGCATTTCTTACCATTGGGTGAACTGATCTGAAAAATTCCAGACTCACTGAGTGTGGTGTGCTAAGCAGGGATTTGCTCAAAAGGCAACCAGAAATTGATCATGTGGCCTGTGGGGAGAATCTGTGTCCATTAAGGATTAAAGTCGCTGCCAGACTCAAGGAGTCTTGCCTGACTGAAGACAGAGAGGCTCACACACTGGGGTCTAGTTTGTTGCTTGCTTCTGGCATCAGTGTATTTGCCATATATGAAAGAAAGGAAGACAATATTCCTTATGTATACTAGTTCCTCAATAATTTTTTTTAAGAAAGCAATCCATGAATGACTATGTGGCATCTTTCAAGATGGTGGTGTGGATGGACAGATGTCTTAACCAGCCAGATAACATCCATTGACACAAATGGGAAATTGGGAAAATGTTTGTTTTCTAAACTATGTTTCTTTTTCCCACTGAAATGAATATTTTGAAAGATCCCCCACTTCTGAGCTGCTACTTTTATGAATACAATTCTATTTCTCTTATATCCCAAAGGCTGGAAGAAGTTTCAGAAAAGGAACAAGCTACACAAAGCCAGAGAACAAAGTATTGAATAGTTGGTGCTCTTTGATATTTCATCCAATTATAATTACCAAATCAGTTTAGGAGACATCACCAATGAGGGGGAGGAAAGGTCAATTTTTATCATCCCAAAGTTGTCTTGTCTAGTGTCAGGATACTTTTTAAATTATAGAATGAAATGAATATTTACTTTTCTTTTTCCAGTCCTAATATCTGCTTTCACACCGTCATGAATTTTCTCTTTCTTTCTGTCTCTGTGTATATCTTTCTCTTTTTCTCTCTTCTTGACTACTTCACTCACTTATAATAACTCCTCCTTCCAGCCTCTCCTCTGGGCCCCTCCCTTTTGGCCACCCTTCTTTGTGACACAGTCTCTCTTGGAGCCGAGCTTAGTCGTATTCTCACCAAATAGCGTGATGCTGGCATTGGTGTGGCCCAACTTGTTGGAAGCCACACAAGTGTAGTTCCCGTAGTCATGTTCAGAGACATTGAAAAAGATGAGTTTTGAGAGGAAAGGTCTGTTTTCCACTTTGACGCCTTTCTTTCCTTCAATCAGTCTGAGACAAATAAGAAACAAAACAAAAAGAGAAAAAAGGAGATGGTCAATTTCCCTCATTGAAAAGACACAGACAGTGGGACTAATTATCTTATTGCTAATCCATCAGATCTCATCTGGTTCACTCAATGCTACCATATATTTGTACTGGATGACATGGCACTACCTCCCTCCCTCTCTTCTCCCTCTCTCTCTCACCCTCTCTCCCCTCTCTTCCCCCCCCCCCCCCTCTCTGTGTATCTAGAGGCAGTCCTGTCAAAGATACCTTACCTTCCTAAACTGACATTTATATTCTCAGAAGGGAGGTGCATCATTTTATCCCTGCTTTGTAAAGCTGTCAGTCATATCACAACAAATACTACATTCCAGTTGTGTGACATTTCAAATAATACCATCCATGCAGTAGATGCTCAAAAGTGTTGATTTATGATGCTCCTGAGAGTGATAATGAAGATGGTGATATGATGATGATAATGATGATGATGATGAAGATGATGATGATGAGAAGGATGACAATCATCACTGAGTGAAAAATTTCAATCTTCAAAGAAGAGAGGGACCTGATGTGTGTGTGTGTGTGTGTGTGTGTGTGTGTGTGTGTGTGTGTGTGTGTGTGTGTGTGTGTGTATGGCAGATCTGGAATTTGATTGTTTTTTTGTGGGGGGCGAACAGTAGAGTTTGCACTCAGGGCTGAGTGCTGTCACTTAGCTGTTTTACTCAAGGCCAGTGCTCCACCATTTGAGCCAAACATCCCACTTCTGTTCTTCTGGTGATTAATTGGAGCTAAGAAGTTGATGGACTTTTCTGCTCAGGCTGGCTCTGAACTTCGATCCTCAGATCTCAACCTCCTGACTTTCTAGGATTAGAGAGATAAGCCACCTGTGTCCTGTCATGATTATACGTTAAAGACAATGAACATGATCTCTAAGTTTACGTACTCTAGTATGACATTGTATGGAAGTGTAATTGTACATGTGTCTGGACAAGGGACAGGGTGCCTGCAGTACTTGTAAAACAGCAACCTCACTATTTGTCCTGGGTCATAGTATGCAGAGAGGGCAGCTATTTCATCATTGTTGGGATGCTTATATTCAAGAGATTATAGAAATACGTTATCCACCTTTCAAACTGAGAGTCACTCCTTGGACAGAAGAGAGAGGCAGGTTCTGACTTGAGTTTCCATCTAACATTTGTCTCCAAGGAAATCAGCAGGTTGATTAAAGGGACTTGATGTGTTTTTCATGATGCAGATTTTCTTCTCTCTAAAGCTCAGGGCAGTGAACTGGCATGCATCCACCATCATCATTGCAGTGTTTCCCTTGTGGAAGCATTGTGGAAGCTCCTTCAGTGGACCAGTGATTACTGATACTCTAGGGGGCGCTGTACAGGGCAAGGTCACCATGTCAGCATCAAGAGTCCCCTGGGATCTAGTTATGGGGTTCTATTTGATTTACCCTTTGGACAGTGTTCCTGGGATGGGGAGGAAGCCTTCACATCAGAATGAAGCTGTGAATTAGATTTTTGAGACGTCTTACTTGAAGCAGGTTCGTGCCTGACAGCTCTGAAACATCTGTAGCTAAACATAGTGTAGGGTGACCAGCAGCACTTTGCAACACTTCACAGCTCCTGGGATGATGCATGGTCCCCTTCTCACGCATTCACACATCCTCCATCCTGTATTGCCACCAAGCTCCACTTTCTTAATGAAGCTGTAGACTTTTCAGTGGCTACTGTCCCTGTTGGGTGGGTGTCCCTTACTCTACACAGAATTTCACTTCCTCTCTCTTTGACTGATAATGTACACAGAACAGACAGCAGAGTGGCACTAGTATAAAGTCAAATCTATCTATCTACCCTTTGAGGGAACTTCTTGACCCCACCACCAAGACTGTTCCTGGAATTCTTCTCATTTCAGTACAAGCAGGAGAGGTGTGAGAGCTGTCATTCCTAGGCGGGCACAGATGTGTTATACCCCCTGGGAACTACCTAGTAGAGTTTGGCAGGTAAACCCAGGTGGTAGATATACAACTGGCTGTGACCAGGACTATAGAGGGGCAGAGATGTCCTTGTCAAGGTGGGAGAAGAGAACATCCCATTCAATGGAGAGCAAAGGAATGGGACCAATATGAGTAGCCAATGGCAAGTGGAGTGATATCAATGGAAAGGAAGCCAGGCACCAGTGGCTCATGCCTGTAAGACTATCTACTCAGAAAACTGAGGTCTGAGGATTGAGGTTTGAAGCCAGCCTGGGCAGGAAAGCCCAGACTTTCATCTCCAATTAATCACCTTCCCATACACACCATACATACAATGCCAGAAGTGGAGCTGGGGTTAAACTGTGGCATCAGCCTCAAATGAAAACGCTAAGGGACATTGCCCAGGCCCTGAGTTCAAGCTCCCGGTGTTGGTGAGTACACATGAACATCAATGGAAAGGGAGAAGCAATCACAGAAAAATCAAAGAGGAGGAAATGAAGTGATTCAGATTCAGACCCAATGCCAGGGTACCAACCCCTCTGCCCTCCTGGGGAAATGTGGGTAAAGATTACAGCCCTTCCTAAGGCCATGGCTTCTGTGCCAAGAGGACATTTCTACCTTTATTTCAAGAATGGGCATTTTTGCTCAACTTTCCTCCACATGTTTTTTTGTTTACTGTTTCAGTTTTTTATTAAAAATTATTTTATTATAAAGATGTTGTACAGAGGGGTTACAGTTACATGAATGAGGTAATGAGTATTTCTTGCTTTTGGCCTATGTTTGTTTCTACTCCCTACACCTGCCATAAAATATATCAGGATAATAGGAATGCAAATGGTTAATTTTCCTTTAGATCTAGATCCCTGCAGCTCCATAATTTTTGTTTTTCTGTTGCTGAAACTTTAAGTCTCTGTCCCTGTCTAGTATAAAAGAAAAGTGGTGGGAGATAATAGAGAAATTTCTGTGTTGTTAAAAGGACAGAAGCCAGCTCTATTTCTCCTTTGCTTTTCTCCTTTGCTGCCTCTGCTCTTCCATCCATACAATGGGTAAGATGGATATACCACCCTTTGCTAGAGACTGAAGATGTGTCCTTAGAAATTAAAATTCTGCCGGGTGCCAGTGGCTCATATCTATAAGCTTAGCCATGTAAGGATCACATTTCAAAGCCAACCCAGGCAAGACTCAAGACTCTTACCTCCAAAAGAGCAAAAGCAAATCTTAGTGAAAACTCAAGGCCCTACAGTGGAGCCCTAGTACTAGCACAATTCTTTTCACTGGAAAGGGTTATGAGAACACAGCAGAACTTAGGGCTAAGTGACTTAGTTCTAAACAAAATTTAACCATTGACTCCAAACCTATAGTTGCTTTTGATGTTTAAGTGACCAGTTAGCAGAAGAAAAGGAAAATGCACTGAAGCCAGTCCGTGTAGAATGGGTAACAATTTGCTCATAACGGGCTGGAATTTCCCTAGTGGTCATGTCAGGTTACTTTTTATGTCTTATTCTCTCCTCCGTTTCCCAGTCTCAACTCCTCCTTCCTTCTCCACTTTGTATCTCCAGCAATACCACTGCCATTTTTATGAAAATATTCTGAACACAGACAGCGCCTGCACATTTATTTGTTGTTCATCCACCTTAAAATAGCTCTTTGATAACAGTAATTTCCTTGTTGCCTGGCTGTACAGAGCCACTGACCCTTATGCTGACATGCCACTTGATAACTCCTTCACATGATCATCTTCAGTGACTCACAACAAATGTCCCCATGATGGCTGCAACAATGAAAAGGAAAGGGACAGTCCTGACTTTATTTTTTTCCTACAGAGAAAGAACAACCTGGGCACAAAGAGAGGGCTCAGCGGGGTCACAGAGACTCATACAAAGCTACTGATAGTGTTTGGAATAGAGTGGGAGAACCTGCTAGGAGCAGCTAACATAGGAGCTACTCCTTACACTTAGGAATGTGTTAAAAAAAAAACTACAGCCGGAACACATTTTTATTGTTGGCTGAGAAAAACAACAACAACCCCAACAAAATACGAACTTCACAGATCTTACAATGCTGCTTTGGGCCTTGATTTTGAGTTTAGATTTCCTGGAAAATGTGTTCCTGATCAAGCTTGTATGTTGATGAATGATGATTCTGCATAGCAACATTAAAAATCTAGCTGAGCTTTGACACAATGGAGACACTTGGACACCCAGGTTCATTGATGCACTATTCACTATAGCCAAGTGATACAAATAGCCCAGATGCCCTATAATGGATAGATGTGAGTGATACACACACACACACACACACACACACACACACACACACACACACACAAATCTGAGGAAAAGAATACAGTCACAATATTCAATGAACATATGTGAAGATGGAATCAGGCAACTTAAGAGGATGGGTAAAGATAGTAGAGATGGGAGAGAACAATACTAGTTGTGACATTGATCAAGATGCATTGGACTCATAAACTAACATGTTGAATTTAAACCCCTAATATAATTATTGAGAGTATAAAAATTATCTATGTATCTATCTATGTATCTATCTATCTATCTAATAGATACACTGAGAGCTAGAAATCTAGATGAAGTTTATTGTTAAAGGATATGTTTACATATAATTTTCTCCTACAGTCTGAACTTCAGAAGAGGACTTGACAGGAGTCCATTTTCAACACTGTGGTCTGCAATCAAGACCCTGGAAAACATTTCTGCTTCTGGAGTAGAGTATAGAGAGCAATGGAGAAGAAAGGACTTTACCTTTTGTCATCCTTGAACCACTGAAATTCTGCTGAGGGAACAGCCGAGGCCTCACACTGCAGTGTCCCCTTCTGTCCCACAGGGACACCCGTGCCCTTAGCTTCTGAAATGTAGGGTGGATCTGCAGAGAGAAGATGGTCTGAGGCTGATACATATGGGTCTTAAAATAAAAGTCTTCTCGTTCATGGATTCTGTTTCTTTCTCTCTGCTTCTGTTTACTTGCACTGTCAAATGGCTTTACTAATTGTGCTAGAGAGTAAAAACATTTTCAGTGTTACTCTAAAGAGAAGCTTCTGTTTTCTATACTGAGGTGTAATGACCAACGATTCAGGTTTATTTTCTATGTCAGGTTTTTTGTTTCTCTCTCTCTCTCTCTCTCTCTCTCTCTCCCTCCCTCCCTCTCTGTGGGTATGGGTGTGCCAATACTAGGGCTTGAACTCAGGACTTTACACACGTGCTATTTCTGCTCCAGGTGTCATGGTACTCTAATTCTTTAGCCACACTTTCACTTCTGGATTTTTGCTGGTAAATTGGTAACAGTCTCACAGACTTTTCTGCCTGGGTTGACATCAAACCAGGATCCTCAGATCTCAAAGTCCTGACTATCTAGGATGACATGGTCCATTAGTCCCTGGCTCTGTTTAATTTTTTTAACTTACATAAGTGGATGCCATTCTATCTAGCCTACATCCCATGGTCTGACAGAATCTTTTAATCAGCCTTGTGGAGTTTTTGCACATGAGGTTTATGCCAATATATAACCAAAATCTCAGTTATAGAAATTTTGTTAATTGGAAATGCCTAAAGAATATACAGACCAATCATTCTTTTAAGTATTTTAAACATACAACATACCCTTCCATCAAGCAAAACCAAAATTGGCCTATGTAAGGTCTGCACGAGGACGCTCTTGGCTAAGATTTTACTCAGGATCTGTTACCAAGGTAACTGGCAGACCTGGAAGCAGTCACCTTCCCCTCCTGCTAGGTCACATCCTGGGCCACCTCTGGTCACATGCCTCTCATCTGACCTTAGAAAGGTTCCCAGACACTGAGGTCCTGTATGGATCTAGTGTGGCCACACCTTTCCCCCATCAGGCCACACCTCTTCCTTTCTCTGGCCTAGATAAGTCCTGGCCCAGGGGTGGGTCGCCTCCTTCCTTTTCAGCCATGCTTCTTCACCATGTATGGTGGGGGCAGCAGTTTGATAAATAAACTTCTTTTCCTGTTTGAAGGGCATGGTGTTCTCTTCATTGGCTACCTAATAAAACCTATCTGTTTAATATACCTTATAGCCTACATGGTGTGGTTTCTTGTAAGGTCTTCACCAAAGCACTGTTGGCATTCCAACAGTGTGAATTGGGAGGTATTTAAAAATAGCCACAATAGGCTCACTTTTGTAACCCTAACTACTCAGGAGGCTAAGACCTGAGGATTGAGGTTCAGAGCCAGCTTGGAAAAGAAAGTCTGTGAAACTCATCTCCAATTAACTACCAGAAAACCAGAAGTAGAGCTGTGGCTCAAAGTGGTAGAGTGTTAGACCCTGAGTTCAAGCCCCATGATCAAAAAAAAAAAAAAAAAAAGCCACAATAATCTTACTGTTTGGCTGATTTTAGGCATTCCTACCACAATGTCTTAACTGTGCATCTCAAAAAGCTCCATTTGTGGAGACCCCAAAGATAATTTTCTATTTTAGCACCAGGAGCAGCAATATTTCTTAAAAATTAAATTTGGTTTTATTTTATGGACAACATAAATCTCAAAACAAATGATATTTACTCTCTTTGCTTCAGCAGTCAAGGCCAAATTCCGGATGTGACCTCAACATCCTGGTGGTATATATTTCATGTGCTGATTTTCCTGAGCTCTTGCTCTCTTTCCTTAGTATAATTTTCTTTTTTTTTTCTTTTTTTTGGGGGGGGAGGGTCCAGTCGTGGGGCCTGAACTCTGGACCTGGGCTCTGTCTCTTAGCTCTTCAGCTCAAGGCAAGTGCTCTACCACTGATTTTCTTTGCTTCCTTTTTCTCTATATTATTGTTATAAATCAGAGTCACTCCTTTCATTACATTTTTTTTTTTTTGGTCAGTGGTGGGGCTTGAACTCTGGGCCAGGCAGTGTCCTCAGCTCTTCTGTGAAAGCTAGCACTCTACCACTTCAGCTGCTGCACCACTTCCAGTTTTCTGAGTGGTTTATTGGAGATAAGAATCTCACGGACTTACCTACCCTGGGCTGGCTTTGAACCTCGATCCTCAAATCTCAGCCTCCTGAATAGCTAGGATGACAGCTGTGAGCCACCGGCCTTGGCTCCATTTAAAGTTTATTTGTTGGGGGCAGGGGCAGTTACAGGGTTTGAAGTTAGGGTGTCATGCTTGGTAGGCAGGTACTCTACCACTTGATCCATACCTCCAGCCCTTTAGGTAAATAATTTTATATTCCTTTACCAATTGTGACAGGTATATACATTTTAGTAGATTAAAAATATGGTAGCATTGTTATACCTATTTCCTTGCTTCTTAACGTGCTTCATATTAGGTTCAAATTGGAATAGAACCCAAAATAACGAAGCAATAAGTTTCTAGCTATGTAAAATACATTGCCAGCTCGTATTTTGCCCACATTTTAAAGAAGATAAGCTTCTGGTTGCTGGCCTAACACTTAAGTCCTGTTCTATCCTAAGAATTCCTGAAAAGTGAACAGCAGAAGAAACCTTCAGAATGTGCTTGGGGAGACTCAGTCAACGTGAGAGACAGATGGGAAATTTGAGTAGGATCAGTATTAGAGTTTGCATGGTAAGGAGAAGAAAATGAGGAACCATGGCTGAGGCTACCAAACATTTGGGCTTCTATATCTCTTAGTAAAACTGAAAATTTGAAGTAACCCTGCAGTACCAGTAAGTTACCTATCTGTATGTATATAAAAATTACCTATATGCACCATGTGTATCAAATTTCAAAAGGATGAGATGCGATGAACATACCATATATAAACATTCTAGTCCTTCCTTCATACACTCTAGCACATGGTTTTGTCCCACTATAGAGATATCTGGTCTGGAATTATAAGTCTCTCAATGCATTGTATGAGTAAATTATGGAAAAACTTTGGATTTGATGATGTATTTACATAAGTGATATATTGAAGACCATTTATTGATATCCCACCCTTTGATTATATTAAGTAAATTTTTGATATTGCACTAGTTACATCTGGTATTAAATTGTGTTCAACTACTTGTTTATTTGTTTGTTTGGTTGAGGCTAGCATATTGTTATGTAATCTAAGCTGACCATGAACTTGGATTCCTTCTGCCTCATCCTTCCAAGTGTTGGCATGCACCAACATACACCGCTTTCAAATACTTTAAAAAATGTGATGCTGCGACACCTTAAAGTATCAAAAACTTGACTTTAGACTTGCTGCTCCTAGATTAGAAGAGTACAGGCTAAACACCTGTGATTCACGTGTGTAATCTTAGCTACTCAGGAGGCTGAGATCAGAGGCTCACAGTTCAAAGCCAGGAAAATCTGTGAGAGTCTTATCTCCAAGTAACACCAGAAAACTGGAAGTGGAGTTGGAGTTCAAAGTTGTAGAGTCATCACCTTGGGCAGAAAAAGCTCAGGGACAGCACCCAGGCCCTAAATTCAAGTCCCAAGACTGACAGGGAACAAAAAATAACAACAAAAAAAAAGAAAAGCAGAGTACAAAAGAATGATGTTACATTATGTTACATTATGTTTTGTCAGCACTTCCTCGGCTGACCAGCTTGCTCCTCAGGGGCATGCAGGGTGGGGGCTGGAGAGACCACTTACAGTTCACGGTGACCTTTACTCTCCGAACCACTGGGGCAGCCACATCGTTGGAGGCACTGCACTCATAGTCCCCTGACTGCTCCCGGGTGATGCCCTGAATTTCCAAGTATTCATCTTCACTCACAAAGCCAACAGCTGTAAGAGAATATCAAAGGCATAAATTCAGAAAGCAAAGTATACAATGTACATCTCTGAAGAGAACTGTGCCCCTTGTAAATTCATTCTCAGGAACTTTACGGATTCTCCATCCCCATTTCTCTTGCCCATTCCCCCTTCTCCTTGGGGTCACCATGGACCTGCTGCACTGTGTGTGCTCCTAACTGAACTAAGAAAAATGCTCAGAAGATGAACTGGTTTTCTATAAGTGGTTAATAGTTTTGGCATTTGCATTTGATCTTACCAAAGCAGTACAGGTCTGGGATCTCAGGTAAGTCCCTTAAATCTGGTTTCAAAGATCTATTTACACTGGCTTGTAAATATATATATATATATATATTCATACTGGCTGCATTCCTGAGCAGGAATCAGTTGGAAATGCCACACCAGAAGTGACCACACACACACACACACACACACACACACACACACACACACACACATACACACACACACACTCACCCTCAATATCATTAGAAACACTAAACAAATGTAGCTTTGCTTTAAGATTAGACAGAAAATTGGATAGGCAGAAACCAATTTTCTAAACTGTGATCTGCTAATGCTCTTGGCTACAAGATCCTAAAGACAAACCAACAGTGGAATAACACAGTTGAAGCATCATCATCAGCATCGGAAGTCAGAGATGGGCTACAAATCTTATACCATTATTTAACAATCACAAGACTCAATTTATTGGGCATGGACAATCAATCATAAGATCCTTCTATAGACTGAATTCTATGCCTGAGGTATAGCCATGGGACACAAGTCATGGAAAAATTGAGATATTCAAGCCTGGAAGGCAGGTTTCAAATTTCTCTCCCATAGCTACTGGATCCTAACTTCCTTGCAAACATAATATAACAAAGCATTATAATATAACATGAGGATGAAAATAATGGCTTACATTCTGGGCTTATCCTCTCTTACTTGCTAAATAAGGACAATTAGGATAAGATCTTAACCTTGGATGCAGTTAAGGAAAAAATGGTACCATTAATTGTTCTGGGATAACAAGTTTAATCTGAGACTGTCTCTAGCAACTGAGAATATTTCCCAGGCATAATGTAATTAATAGTCCCAATACCTTACATGACTATTGAGAGTGGCAAACAAAAATACTTACAATACATCACACCTATTGCCACCTGTTCATGTAGTTCTTCATCCTATAATTTTCCTGGAAGGTGGAGGTCAGGGTGGACTGAAACTACATTCACATGGACAGTCCCAGACAGAGAATCAAAGGCTAATTCCATTCAAGTCACCAAACACCACCAAAATGCCATGTTCCTTCTGACCAAGAGTATAAAAATGATGACTATAAGAAACTAATATAACAGAAAGAATGAAATATGTGCTACATAAGTGATTGTCTATTAGTTCCATGACCTTGTTAATATCACTTTTGTAAAATAATATAGTAATAGCAATAGCAAGAATAACAATAATAAAACCCTGTTTTATAGAGAATGGTCACTACCTGTCATTCTGTTACTACCTTTTTTTTCTGTATAATTCTTTTTTTTGTGTGAGAATACCATACAGAGGAGTTACAATTACATGGGCAAGGTAATGAGTACATTTCTTATAAAGCATTGTTGCCTCCTTGTTGTTTCCCTTTCCCATTACTACCTTTTTATGGTAGGTATTATCCAGCAATTAGCCAACCAGAGCATTTCTTCACTATCTCTACAACATATAGAATCTATATCATATAAGTGTAGAAAATCTCCTTCCTCTATTGGCTCCAGAGGATAGAAAAACAGTTATCTATTACAACGAGCAAGTAAGAGATTAAATGCACAAGGAGAAGGTATACTCTAATAAGTAGAAAACAGGACCAAAGTATCTATAATTTGGGGAAGAGCATCAACAGGAACCCACAAGATATACAGCTCCAACTTGTAAAAAATTTCTATCTCAGTAGACTTCATTAATATGGATATGGTTTCTTATGCACTACCTGAGCAAAATATCATTCTAGGTTGAAGAAAGGGTAGAAGAAGTTGGCAGAGGTTTACATGAGAATTTGTGATTCCTTTTATATTGCTGTTGTTTATTTGCTGCAAATCCAAACCTACATTTGTCAGATCTTGCCACGCTAGAATGGTATAATTACTGTGCAAAGAATCTCAGAGACCAGTGTCACACTTAATATTCCCATTAATTTTAAATGGTAGTCCTTGGTACATATGTGAGGCAATTGGTGTCATATTTTAATTAGGCTTGCCCTACACCATCTGAAATTAATAATAGCTTGAATTACTAGTGTAATTTATAAATTAACAGTGCTGCAGCATTAGGAAATAAATTAGTTCTGGACAGCTGTTTCTGGATGGAGCTTCAGTGTCATAGCTGTGATTGGTAAGACCTTAGGACTCCATAGACTGTGTGGTATATCACCAAAGTAGTGAAACTAAAAGACATGGGGTTCTATTGGCCTGTTGTTCTTCTCCAATAGAAGTCCATGTATTTTGTCATTCTACCTTCCAAGTATGCACTTCTGTGACCACACAGAAAATTTTAGAGAACCATCAGTGATGAGCTTGCTATGGAGACATTCAAAAGGAGGCACAACTTGGGAGCTATAGTCACAGGTTAAAATTCAAGCACATATCAGTGAGAGTCATACACCAAACGAAGGACTCAACTAAGTTTCTTTCAGGGACACCAGTGTAAGAATGTGCATGGAATTTTATCTAATTCTTGCAAAGAGATCATCAAGGAAGGATGTGCAATGACTTAAGAGTTGGGGGAGGCATATGGCTCCATGTTGAACCAGATTTTTCACTACAAGAAGATGATGATTTACACTTGTCACCCTACTACCATATACCCTACTACCATACACCGTAGAGCAAATACATAATTAGAAATAAACAACAATGGCTTCATTGCTCATCCCATTCTGGTTAAATTAGTTATTGAATGGGAAGAGTAATATGTATAAATTAAAGTGCTTTGTGATTTTAGATGTAAATGTTACTTCTGCCTATCTCTTGGCACACAGCTTTCTTCTACTAAAAGCATGAATAAAGCAGAGATAAATATAATCAGCCTACAAAATATAATCAGTATACACACAGAAAGGTAAACTTTGAACCTTCAGAAATAACTTCCTCTCAGTGCCACCTAAAACAAACATGTTTGCAAACATCATTCATCATTCATTTGAAATCTGAAGGACCTTTGTGTGTATGCGTGGTGAACACTGGTACTAAGGCTTGAACTCAGGTCCTGGACACCATCCCTCAGCTTTTTCACTCAAGGCTGGCTCTGTAAAACTTGAGCCACAGCTCCATTTCTGGCTTTTTGGTGATTACCTGGGGATAAGAGTCACAGACTTTCCTTCTCTGGTTGGCTTTGAACTGCAATCCACACATCTCAGCCTCCTTAATTACAAGAAATACAGGCATGAGTCACCAGGGCCCAGCTTAAAAAATGATGTTTTAGAGTTAACAAGGACAGGTTTCATTTCACAGTATTTGTGCTCTTGCTATGAACCGATCGACAGCTTATCATCAGTATGAAGAATTTACAAAGAATATTGGAAAGGGAAAAACAGCTGAACTGATTATACTTTTGAAATTGCTCCAGGATTCTTATTAAGAGACACCAGTGGAGAAGAGGTAAACCACTTCATAAAACCCAATGAAAAGAAACTCTTCACAGTCAATGGCTTCTCATTTATAAGTCCACTTTTTTCTTCTTAAAAGGAAACACATCCTTGGGTGAAAATGACACTCATCTTCCTAAAATATCACCTTCACTTTCTTCATGTCACACCTCTTCAGACACCACAAGCAGCTCTTCTTCTTTTTTTTCAATAATGGCAAGCACAGACTCCATTCCCTTATCATCAAAGGCTCCCCAAGCTTCACCCCAAGTTCATTAGCATTCGTGCTGTGAAGAAGGCATCAGATCACTACTGTAAAGAGTCAAAGTTGGAGACCGGACAAGCTTGTTTCATGGATGTTGAGTTATCCTACCTCCTCACATCATGCATTCCTTTACCTGTAGAACTCAGAGTAATATTATGAGATTGTGGTTGTGTTGTCACTGACAAGAGATGGACAGTGATAGGCAGGTGGTAGGTTTTCTGTAGGTATTAATCAATGCAAGCGTGGTGATGGTAGCCACAGATATTCTGACGTCGCTCTTAATCAAGCTTTGCTGTTTTCAAATTGTTCATCATGATGATTCCATCTCACAAGTTATTATTACCACCTACCAAGCGACGTTCTTCTTAACCAAGTAATTAGCAACTACTTTTTCATTTGTTTTTTCTATTTTTGAGGGGGAGTGATTACTGGGGCTTGAACTTGGGGCCTTGCATGCTGTCCCTAAAGTTCTTTGCTCAAGGAAGCTTCTCTTCCACTTGAGCCACAGTTCCACTTCTAGCTTTTTGGTGGTTAATGGGAGATAAGAGTCTGATGGACTTTCTTGCCTGAGCTGGCTTTGAACCTTGGTTCTCTGATCTGACTCCAGAGTATTTGAGATTACAATCAGAGGCACCTGTCTACATATTATCTTTAAAAATCACAAAAGTACTAAACTGAAGAGCATAATTATTAGGAAACAATTAGGGTTCTAATACTGAGTTCACAGTATGTAAACATACTGCATTATTGCTTGCTTAAGGTCTTGATTACTGGAGGAATGACACAAATGTGTCATCTACTCAGAATCTCTAGTGATAAGGAATTTTTCTAATCTTACCAGGAAATTATCATGTGTAGTCAAGTTTAGAGTCTAGTGATTTAGCTCACTATCTTATGTTACATGTGAGAAATAAAGTTTAGGAGAGTCAGACCACGATCAAGGTCTCTTAAAAGACTGAGTCCACACAGGTTAAATGCACTTTTGCAAAGTGAAGTACTCTGTGTTACTCACTGTTTCTCATATAGCTCCATTTTTTTTTTTTTTTGTCAGTCACGGGGCTTGAACTCTGGGCCTGAACGTTGTCCCTCAGC